TAAGTCAAGAAACAACAACAAAAAAAACAACTTCGAAGAGCAATCTACTCCAAGTTTTGAAGCAAGAGTGGGCAAAAATCCCACAATCTAAAATTGACGAGATGATTCTCACGATGCCCCAAAGGATAAACTAACTCCACGAAGTGAAAGGAAGATCTACTAAATATTAATTAAATTATAGATATATCAATTCATGTGAATATGACTGAAAATTTTCATTTTTTCTGAAAAGGTAGTGTCTATTTACTTGTGATCACGCTGTGTATATGTCATCAAAACTTTTGAATGCAACTACGCGATCTTAACATTAAAACGAAGCGTATTATATTATAAGCACTTCGTAAAACACTTGACACAGAAGACAACAGGATTTCTACGATAAATATTGACTTTGGTCCTATTAATGACTTTAAATAATCAAATTTCAAAACAAATGCTCATGGTTATGTGAGCGTATTAACTAAAACCACGAATAAAATGGTTGATGAAGTGTTTGTTAAACATGAAATACAGAGAAAAAGTTATTAACCAATAAGTTTCACTCCGCTGCTTCGTTAATCAAACCTTTTTATAAAAGTGTCTGAAAAGCGTATTTCCTGTCAATTTCTGAAACAACAGTTTTACTGTTACTTGTATAGTGAAAACAATGATCATGTTATGTAAATAAGAATATCGATCATTGTTCCTCTAGAATCTGAAATTCAATTAATTAACATTATTACAGTGTAGGAAAAACGTTTTTCCCTGTTGCCGCAATCAACATTATTCAGGTGTTATTTCAACAAATTGAACTTATTGAATACTTGTATTACTACTGCTACGTCATTATAATTGTTATTGCCACAATTGATTCTGACACTACAAACACTATCAACAGTAATGGAAATAATTATGGAAACAGACAATATGCAATGGCAAGTATATGGTGTATACAAAATATTATTATAGAAAATACAAATTAAGAGCTAATAAGTTGTACAATGCGCTAGTATTTTGCAAGCCCTTTTCTTCACACAGAGGATTGCTCCCTATTTTCATGTTGCCATAATGTTCATCAATGAACGATTGTGGAATATTTTTTTTCCAAATTTAGTTTATTACTCCTCACAGTTCAGCCAACTTATTTGGTCGCACTGCGTCCTCCTCAGTTTTTACGTGACTACATGCAGTCTCAAGAACATTTGCATCGTGATTTCAGCAGGCCAAGCCATGGTTGTGAGTATTTCATTGGCTTTTTTAGCATTAAGATATTGTTTTCCATATTTGATGTATGATTGGCATCATTGTCACATGGAATATTTATTCTGGGAGCCATAACTAGATTCGTACTACTACTACTGGGCAAAGTATGAGAGCCTATGACTTAATACACCTTATAGTGGCGTGCCACTTTGTAACTAATTTGAAGACAACCAATCACAATTTAAACTTTCAGCACGTGACTGTGCGCAGGCGCATAACTTTTTCCAATAATTTAAATCAATAATATAAATGATGGTTTTTTCTACCTTAACTTCTATATTTTTACTCATATTATTATCATAATGAACTGCAGGCTACACAGTTGACAATAATTCTGCTATTATATTAACCAATATCGAACACTGTATCTCTATACGTGCAAGACATGTACTGCATGTATCTCAGTAGAAGTGTTTTTGATCGACTGAGATCCAAGTATTAGGTATGCATGCACACGTACAAAAAAAACCTTCATTACAGCAGTCATTTACAATATCTTAGACACTTTCAAGTATTTTAGCAGTTTATAATCTTTATACAGTTGTGCGAGGCTTCACGCACATGCACATTATGATCGCTAATCTCCTCACCAAGTGAAGGGAAGCTTATCCTGCACTGTCAGCAGCTTTATGTCAGAAGGGCTTTCACAAAAGTTTCCTGACTTCCCGCGCGACTTATCCTAGATTAGTATCCCTTTTTTGTTACATAAGCTGCTTCTCCAAGAATATGCGGACAGTTTTTCTTTTGTAAAACAGTGGGCCTACTTCTTCTCATCCTATTCTCGACGTTTCGAACCGAGGCTGTGTTGAATTACAGCATCACTCTATTCCCGTGTTCCTCTAGGCTTAAAGGCAAACAGGTTTTTGTTTATTCTTTGGCATCAGGAATATTTGTTCTTCACGTATTTTTCATTTATAATCCTCGTGTTTGAATTCTCCCCCGAATTAAAATCTATACGCTTGGCGAGTTCACTGCCCCCAAAATGAATTTCAACCACAAATGTTTTATAGTAAGTGATTTCTAAAGCTACTGAAATGTTTACTCTGCTAAAGTTACCCAAAGGTTTAATGAGTGAGTATTAAAAACGTTCTGTTTAATGTGAATGCTCCCCTTACACTAAGACGTTCGAAAAAAAAATAAGTATGAAGTTATTTGTAACGAATATCAGAAAAATGTACTCATCATTTTAAAATAAAAATATGTGTTTTTATAGCAAATCCACATCAGACTATCTGTTGTGACCACCAAGGAGAATCGAACCCTTGATTTCAGTGTTTTCAATCCGTAAACTTCCCGCTTTCCCACCGGTGGACTTTAAATAGAAGCTAACTCTTAAATCAAAACAAACGCAAATACTTTTTTAAGATCCTTTCCGTGTTTTTTGTGCAGTTCTTAAGATTTTTCAGATTTTCCTAATCATGATTACCATCACAGCTTTGTCCCCCAGTGGCACAGCGATATGTCTGCGGACTTACAACGCTAGAATCCGGGTTTCGATACCCGTGGTGGGCAGAGCACAGATAACCCATTGTGTAGCTTTGTGCTTAATTACAAACAAACACTGAAAAACACTTGCCACTCTTATCGTGTAACACCAGATCAGAATGAAAAACATTTGCCACTCTTATTGCGTAACACCAGATCAGACTGAAAAACATTTGCCACTTTTATCGTATAACACCATACCAGAATAAAAAAACACTTGCTGCACTATATTTTGTAACACCAGATCAGACTGAAAAACACTTGCCACTCTCACTGTGTAACACCAGATCAGACTGTAAAACACTTGCCACTCTTACTGTGTAGCACCAGATCAGACTGTAAAACACTTGCCATTCATACTGTGTAACATCGGATCAGAATGAAAAAACACTTGCCACTCTTACTGTGTAATACCAGAACAGACTGTAAAACACTTGCCAATCTTATTGTGTAACACCACATCAGACTATAAAACACTTGCCACTCATACTGTGTAACATCGGATCAGAATGTAAAACACTTACCACTCTTACTGTGTAACACCAGATCAGACTGTAAAGCACTTGCCATTCATACTGTGTAACACCAGATCAGACTGTAAAACACTTACCACTCATACTGTGTAACAACAGATCAGAATGAAAAAACACTTGCCACTTTTACTGTGTAATACCAGATCAGACTGTAAAACACTTGCCAATCTTATTGTGTAACACCAGATCAGACTATAAAACACTTGCCACTCATACTGTGTAACACTGGATCAGAATGTAAAACACTTGCCAATCTTATAGTGTAACACCAGATCAGAATGCAAAACACTTGTCGCTTTCATTGTACTTATATGTAGCTTTTTTTGTATGTGCAACCTTTTCTTTGAGGATTTGAAGAAACGAAATGTTCAACATTCTTGACGTTAGGAGTAGTAAATAGTGGTGTAATCTTGCGATTCTGTTACTAACACGTAAAACGTAATAAAATTGGATAGTCGCCACAATTTTGCAGCTAATTTATTATATTTTTTGTATTAGCAACAGAAGCGCAAGATTACACTACTAATTACAACAACAACAATATGTAGTTATTTTAGCGCAAAAGCAAATCAGATGCAAATCTAGAACATTTTATTGAACATTAAGTAGCTCTTTTCAGTAAATTCGCTTTCAAGAAAAATAGAGAAAATAATTCTCACATTTTTGCACCAAAACTCTTTCATTGATGTTAAAATAATGCTTTTGGTGTAAAAACCGATGTTTTTAGCTTCTCGTAAACCTAAACATCTGCTCTAAAACGACTTTCTTTATAAACACCAAAGCTCTAAAAAATAGTTATATACATTTTAACGTCATCCAAAAATCTGCCAGTTTTCCAGTAGAAATGATAGTCGACTAATCATCGCTATTTGATTTATACGTTAACCTAAATTCCTTTTCATATATCGTATATGATTTGAAGCTATTGAATTCACAAATATTTTTTTTCCATAAATGTTTTAGCAGTTCCAATGTACCAAGCTGTTGTGGGGCAAAGTGCTCAAATACCTTGCAACATTAGCCTTCCTTCTGAAGTCGACTCCATATCCTTGGTTTTATGGTACAAGTCAGGGATCAGTGCTCCAATTTTCAGTGTAGACTCAAGAAAAGGCCCACTGGAAAAATCCAAACATTTCACCAGTGACTTCCTGGGACAAAGAGGATACTTCGACATCAGCATCCAACCATCCGTCTTGACCATTAATCCCATACAGAAAGATGACGAAGGTGATTACCGGTGCAGGATTGATTTTAGATATGGACGAACCTTTAATAGTATTGTAACATTGAATGTTATTGGTGAGTTCATATACTCAATAGTTTCAAGCATATTTTAAGTGATTAGCATATCGTAATGTTACCTGTAGTGAACAAGAAACTGAGAACAGTTACAGCCATTTTGATTGCTTTGTTAAAAACAATGGATAAAAGTAAAGAACCAGCCAAATATAATATAACCTTCATGTTATTTTTCGTATTAGCTCTTTCCTAGTTTAGGTTTAAACCTAACAAAAAAGTTTAAAATCTGAACAAAAATCTTTAGTTTTCTTTTTAGATCCGTTTGTCTACTAACTTTAGTTTGTTTTCGCTCCATGATAATATTAACTGTACGGGAAATAACAGAAATAAATTATATGTTCAGGATATCTTGTATACAGACAGAATTATAATTTTAGTGATTGTTTTCAGGACTATAACCTACCTTTGATTTAATCTTCAAATTATCAATGTTTTGAGAGAGGAGTTTTAAGGAATAATTGCTCATTATCTCATTTACAGATTCTATTATTAACACAAGAAAGCTCTCAAAACGTAATATGGTTTTAGGAGGCACTGGTTAAATGTTCGAAAAATCGTTAATGGACACCTTTCATTCAAATCTTCTCCGTTTCTAAACAAAACTTTCATTTGAAAGTTAGAAACTTCATCAAAATATATGAAAGTGTAAAGCATCAATGTTTCAAGGTTTTACATTTGCAGGCTTTAATGGAAGCTGTATTTTTACCTCAGCTAGTTTATTTGAATTGACATTACAGCACTTGCAAATAAAGTATCTTCGACTACAGTGTTCTTTTTTCAACAAGTAATTTATCACGATTAAGTACCTTTACTTCAGTTAATGATTTTAACTACCTTATTAATTTTAAAGCTTTATCCTAACTAGAGTGTTATTTTGAAGAAAAGTACATTTAATCCAAGTATTAATATTAAACATATATGTATATATTGTTGTAAAATATTTCCAGTTCCACCAAAAGAAGTCATTATTGTCGATGAGACTAACGAACCAATTTATGGATATATTGGGCCATATAATGAAGGATCCAAACTTGTTCTCGGCTGTATAGCTAAGGCTGGTGGGTTTTATATTATTTGTTAGAAAATATTTGTAAATACAGGTCTATTTGTATTGTTAAGCATTTATTGAATTTTTGTTTTGTTGTTGTTGTTAGTGTTTAGCACAAAGCTATACAATGGCTACGTTCTGTCCATAGCAAGAAATCAAACCCCAGATTTTATCATTGTTAAGTCTGTAACATTACCCTTACACAACGAGGGACTTTTTATATCCAGATAGGAAGTAATTAATGGTTGGGACATCTTTTTTATATCCAAATAGAAAATAATTAATGGTTGGGACATCTTTTTTTTTATATTCAAATAGGAAGTAATTAATGGTTGGGACATACAAAGTGATAATTTTGGATTTTGAGCCCCGAAAAAATTGGCGATTTGGATCATTGAGCTTTACATTTTTGTTTACTTGTTTACATTGTTACTGATTGAATAAATCAAATTATTGTAATACTTAATAAAGTGTTAATAGTGATTATTAATAAAGCACTTTTACTTCCTTCAGCATTACGAAAAACTTTGAAAGTGCGCTATTATTTTTGTCATTGAGTAAAATATAGCTGTTTGAAAAAACTTCCCAATCAACCAAGGGGTTATTGTAGAATACAAATGTTGAGACTCGTAACAGGCATTAAAACAATACTTATTGTTTTACTGTAATTGTTCCAAGATATTATCCAGTAAGGCATCATTATCACCATCTTAAGCATTTACACCAATAACCCGTAAGCTCAAACTTCGTTTTACCAAATACGGTATGTTCGAGTTATTTCTTAAAATTATTCAGTACTTAGAAATTTAGTTTCTTGTTGTTGTAAAGATAATTACTCACATTAAATGAGATGGAGATGTTATTGACGAATTTATTCCTGAATAATTCACGTTTCAATCCCTCATTATCAGCAGATGGCGCAACTATCGATGAGTCCAAAATTATAGAGACGTTTTAAAACTTATCATTCCGCAGTGTAACAGAAACGTAATATGAAGTTATAATAGATGATTTGATATATGAAAAACAAATGTTTCACTGTCTTTTCTAAAGATGAAAAATTATTAAGAGCATCTTTTTGGTGACTCATCTTAATAATATAACACACTATAGCTATTTTTCTAGCTTATTATATTGAACTCTTCGAGCTGTTTATGTTTATTGTTTACTATCAGTACTATTTTTCTTGATACAGTTTTCCATTAGTAAGTAAAATCTCATGATATATTTACTGTTGCTAGGGAAACCACCACCATCCGTAACCTGGTGGAAAAATTCAGTACTACTAGACAGTACTTTCCAAAACAATGGAGATCAAGGCGTTCGAAACGATTATATCCTTCAGAAGTTAACAAGAGAAGACTTGATGTCTCAACTTACCTGCCAGGCTTCTAATACTAATCTTATCACACCAGAGGTCGCAAGCGTTATCATTGACATGAATTGTAGGTATAAAATACCGTCATTTTAATTAATTTTATTCTCTAGCTTTTCGTTTAGCTGACCTTTTCTTTATAATTTTGTACAAAACTACACCAGGACTATATGTGGATAGTTAACCCTAATTTTGAAGGCAGCTAGAGAACAGCCCACACCGTCAGCTCTTGCGCTACTTTTGTCTTATCGATAAGTGAGATTTTGCCGTCACTCTTACAGCGCACTTACTGCCCCAAAGTGAGAAATGCATTTTTGTGAAAATACGCCGCGAACTCAAATCTTCTAACTCACAATCAAGTCACGCTAACCAATAGGGCGCGCTCGTGCCCTCACTTTTTAATCTCGTATTTTTGAAAATAAAAAATAATAATAATCTAGTAATTTTTAGAATAAATAAACATATAATTTACAGAAAAAGAATTAATAAAACCTTACCAGGATTAAATACACGATACGAGGAGATGAGATGTATCAATATTGTCTTTGTAAATATAAAATGATGTATTTGTTTTTACTTTAACGCCCGAAGAACAAAATTGTTCCAGTACAAATGAACTAAGATACTGTATTACGATAATTTATATACAGACTTTACTATTTGTTTCGTTCAATTTCGCGCAAAGCTATTCGAGGTTTATATTCAATAGCTGTCCCTAATCTAGAAGTGATATACCAGAGGGAAGGCAGCTAATCAGTATCACCCACCGTCAACACTTGAACTAATTCGTCTCTACCAACGAATAGCATGTTTGATCGTCACATCGTACGCCCCCAAGGCTGAAAGGGCAAGCCTTTTCGGTGAGGTATTCGAACTCGCGAGTCAAGCGTCCTAACCACCAACAAGGCCATGTCAGGCCTCGTAAACAGACTTGTTTACCAAGTGTTGTTATCCATCCAGTTTCGTTGTTTCAATAAATATATTTCCATATACTTATAACAGGTCATTGTTTACACTAGAGATTAGATTTACACGCGTAGATAAAACATGACATCACATGTGATTTCACGATTTTGACATGCCGCTGTTTATAAATTTTATGTTGTTTAACATTTACTATTTCGCAATAAATCTAATTAAATATCTGGCAAAATAATATACGTATATATATATCTCGGCTTGTGTCATCAATACATTTAATGCAAAAGTACACAGAGCCAGAAACAGAAAGATTAGCGTGCAAATACTATGATTCCCAGGATTCAGGGTTCTCGTCTGTTGCTTAAAAAAACTGATGTTTGTTTAATTTTGCAATAAGATAGTTGAGGGCTATCTGAACTAGCTGCCACTAATTTTAAACTGACAGACTAGAGGGAAGATAGTTAGGGCCTAAGGTGCTCTATAAGAGTAACAGTCAAATGCCGCTATTCAGTAGGGTAACAGTAGCCCAAGAGTTGGCGAAGGGTGCTGTTGACTGGCTGCTTTCCTTCTATTCTATCACTTCAAAATTAGAGATGGCCATGCGCATATAGCCTTTTGTAGCTTTGCGCAATAATTCTGAAATAAACATAAGTCTAGAATCGACAAATGTTGCAGGAGATATCTAAACAGCATAAAAATCTTTAAATTATTCGGAACATGTCATCAAAAGTTTTAACTCTAAACAGTAGCATAATCATTCAAAATCGAACGAAAAGAATGATTATGCTACTGTTTAGAGTTGAAGCTTTTGTTCACATGTTTCGAATTATTCAAAGAATTTATGCTCTTAGATATCTCCTGCAAGACTTGTAGATTCTAGACTTATGTTTATTTCAGAATTATTACGTAAAGCTACTTGTAAATGGTATAATGTGATAGTAAACTCGAACGAGAAGAATGATTATACTACTGTTTAGAGTTGAAGCTTTTGTTCACATGTTTCGAATCATTCAAAGAATTTATGCTGTTAGATATCTCCTGCAAGACTTGTAGATTCTAGATTTATGTTTATTTCAGAATTATTACGTAAAGCTACTTGTAAATGGTATAATGTGATAGTAAACTCGAACAAAAAGCTATCATATTATACCATTTACAAGTATGAGAATCTGTGTGTAAGAAATAACTTTTGCCGTCGCTGTGCGACTTTATAAGCAGTAGAGTAAGTATGATAGGATCAGCTGGAGGCTGTTGGTTAAACAAGTTATTTTGCGTGCGTCAGTTTTCAACGTTTTTATTGGTTCAGAAAGTCACGTGACCTCACTAAGAGTTTCAACAATAGATGATCCACAAGACTCTCCGAGCGTGCTAATCGCCTATTTTATATTTTTCATAGCAGTAAGTATAACAAACACATGCATTGTTTAAAGTGATATTTCTGTTATTATGGATAGAATTTACACGCACAGGTTTTTAAAGAAATATATAATAACCTATAAGTGCGACAGCGGCCATTTCTTTTTATTGTTTTTTTTTTTTTTTAGGGGGAACGGGTGATCTGTATTGCATACTTTTTTCAGATCTGTTCTGAACGTTGCTTTCTTTGCGAGGCTGCATGCGTTTCTAAAACATTACATTTATTGTTGTTTTTTTTTTTGCAAATGTGGTTCCTCCTTTGATCACTGACGTTCTTCTGCACGTTCTGCTAGCACGTGGTATTCTTGATATTATTTCACAGGCAAAACCGTTCAACCTGACTCTGTAAAACTAGGAAGCTGAAAATGCGCATACCGTCCTTCGTTTCTTGTTCCTATAGGATGGTCTACTCACACCTTAGCCTTCGTTTTTTGAGTACCGATATTTGGTTGTCCTTCAACCAACAACAAAAGTTTGCATATCCTTGTAGGCACCTCTACGAATAATGATGAAATTCTAAGTTGCCTAGTGCTTACAATAATAATCACGGAACTTGTTGTTTTCAGGGTTAATCAATAAAAATCAGATCCATTATCCATATCATCTAGAATACTTAATGAATGGGCTTGCCGTTGTTTTTGTTCGGGTGTGGCCCAATGGTAAGCACGGTTTTGCACTTTCAGCTGTGGGTGCGCATTATGAAAGTGACTGTCAATTCCACTATCCACTTTAGAATAGCTATGTAGACGGCAGGTGCTGTTTATTAGTTGACCTTCCTCTGGTCAGCAGTTTTAAATTAAGGACGGCTCTACTTGAGCCATTAGATATCTGACCTTGCCATTTAACTAATGTGTCGCATAATGTGCCTTTAGGGTCGAAAATACGAAATATAGTACCACTGTTGTTTTGTTTTTTTCCGTTTAGGAAAACCTCGTCCCAACTGTTTTTCTCAAACATTTCTAGTCACAGCATCTTTCGCGGTTACGTTATACAAAATTCTATTTCGTTAAAGATATTACTAAACAACATGTTTCCGTACTTCAATCTGAATTAAGCATATTTGTGGATTTCTCACCTCAGACACAAGTCTATTCGGTTTTATTCACAGCAGTTTACACAAACATCTGAACCATCTTTATAGAGCGATAGTAATCTTATCATTTGTCTTTAATTTCTAGAACACTTGAACTTCTTAGAAATAAATTCACCCCGAATGAATCTTTATTTTCTTTTATGAAGAAAAACATGAATCTCTAACCGTATGACTTTGTTTTCCCTCTCACGTAATTTCATCACTCCTTTAGAATTATCATAACTCCGTGATTTTCTGAAATTTTTAACGTAAGTTTTTAGTGCCTACAGAACAAGCGGTTAAACTTTAGTTTTACTTTAGGTAAATTCCTGGAGCTCTTTGTTATTGAGCTGTAAATTGTACCGTATCGTTGATATACCAGATAAAAGTTTTAACCATACACTGATCCGCCTCTTTACTAGGACTACTTCTTAACATTGGATCGGACCACCTTTTACCTCGGTAGCTACCTGAATTCAGCATGACATAGTCTGTACTAGATGTTTAAAAGTTACTTTTTCGATATTAGTTCATTTATCAAAGTGTATGGATAGAAATCGTTTCACAGCTATCGGCAGTTGCAACGTCCGGGATCATCTCTATGTTGATTGAATCATACTAGTTAAGAAATATATCTAAAATTACTTTTACTTTTCGAAACAATCTCGGCCAGTAGAAACGGTGTAAACTGTTTCAACGTCATATCTTCATCAATGGCGAAATTCAGCGCCGTAGGATGTTCAAATATACTTTGGATGTTATTCGCCCTTTTAAATCAAAGACGTCCTTCCTTGTCACAAAAACATCGTACCTCGGTTAGAACAATACAATTAAAATCGGCTATCTCATGTAGCTTTCTGCATACTTTTACCATACAGTCAGTCCTGGAAAAGATGTAAAACAAGTGATTGGAGCACATCATACGTTTTCAATCATTCACTATCAACGGTTAATTTTCAGTCTAAGTAAAATTCCATATTTTAATTACACTTCAGGAAGCCAAAACAGTAATAAACTTACGTATTCATTACCTCTTGAGGAAGTTCAATAATTTATTGTGGAATCAATTGGCCAGTCAAAAAAAAACAAGAACAAACAAAAAAAAACAGCTATTTCTTGGCTATAGTTATTACAGTTGTGTTTGAATACATCATGAGATCCAAATCAGAAACAAAAATCACACTTCTCTAAAAGTCTACATTAAACATGTTAGATCATTTCTAGAAGCATATATAAAAGTCACTGTTAAAATAGATCTAGATATAAAATGCATCACATCATACCTATCTTAATTTGATCATAAACATTCCTTATATTCAAACTGATTTCCAATTTATGTATGTATATTTTTTTCAACACAAAAATTTTATGTGCAAAATAAATTTACAGAAAAACAAATATCACTATGTTGTTAATTTAAAAACATTTTTTTAGGAGATTTACTGATTAGAAGTCAAAGAAACTTTTTTGTATAACACTGAGTAAACACATAGTAATGCCTGAATCAGTTAAGAATCAGTAAAAAAAAAGAACAAAAAATGAACAGCATTCGGACTGACTTAGACTGCCATATGACATTTATTGTAACATACAATATTTGCAGTTGAAGAGAGTTGAATACTGATTACCTGTGAAGGATTCATTCAACTTAAACATAGTTTGTTGTTTGTTTTACTTTTGGGATAAAATTAGAAGTTTGATATTAAGTTTCAGAGTTATAAACAAACATTTATAGATAACATTCGTTAGTAATTCATAACGTTTGACATTAGATAACTACTTAGTTCTCTTGCTCGATGTTTAGCAAATATATTTTGTCTTTGTTCTTTGTTTTACTTTGTACTACTGTCGCATACATCATAGTCATGATTTAACTTATTACCGGTATCGCCCTCTAGCATACTTTTCAACTAAATATATATTTTATGGTAAAAAGACACGAAAGAGTTTCAAAGTGTCTTAGAGAAGAATGGAGCTACTAACTCGTTATTATATTAAACATGTTCCTAGACAAATCAGTTTTTGACAAAGTAATGAACAATATAACACGTGGTTATTAGCTGTCATCCATAAAGCTGATTACGTATTTTGAGGGATAAAACTGACAAGATACAAAGTCAAATGACAAGCTGCCTTGCTAATAACGATGCTTGAGAAATAGTCCAACTAAGTAAGTAACTTTAGTTTTCTTCCTGTGCCTGGTAATTTTTCGATTACAAGCAAGTTGTTTCGTTAAATCCTCTTACGAAAGTCTGGTTGGTATATTACTGATTATCTAGTAGTTTTCCTGATCGCTTACTTATTTTATGTACCTAAATCGGTAATCAAAGTTTATAAAACAATTCCTTCAATTATTTTCCCTTCTAATTTAACATATATATGCATACATTATTGAAACTAATATGTGCATAGCGTTCTTAATTTTTATCATATATATTTATGAAAACATGCATTGTAGACAATATTACTAAGCATGCATATAAAATATTAACTTGCGCTGAAATATCCGTCAACTGACGGGGAATGTTTAAACTTAATTAAAACAATGTAAGTTTAACAGCAATCATATATTTCAAAGTAATAACTTGAACATAAACTTTATCTCAAAATTGTAAAATTATAACAAAGTTTCTTCATAAACAATATTTTCAGTTTGCTTCCCATCTACCAACAAACAAAGATTTTGAGGTGATTCCACCCTTAAACACCCTACATCTCATTGACGATGAAAAAAGCATGGTTGTTTCAGAAACAGTTCAGCAGCTTTCATACTTTGACTTTGAATCCCTTTAGAATATTCAGCATTGTCTAAAGCATCAACCTGCCAAGATTGTTTGAGATTGACTCAATAGGTTGGGAGTAATCAACCAACAGGCTTTACAAAATCGAAATAGGGTTTACATAAGTCTTTATACATTGTCAAAGTACAGTTGCTAAATATAACGATAATTAAACAAATAAAACACTAAACAGTAATCACGGGGAGAAACTACAGCAAGAAAACACAACGAAAAAAAAAGGTAAAATCAGTAATACGAACATATTAAAACATGTGTAATTTAAATGAAGACTGCATGTTGTTCAGTGTTGGGGAGTGCTGTTTGATGTGGAGGGTTTCTTTGATCAATAATTCCAGGTCAGTATTAGACTTGCAGAGGACAGAGATATTTGATAGTATAGGTTGAAGTTCATTGTTGCTCCCCATAGTTTATAGTGTTTACATACAAATGTTGGCTGAGATTGGCCCAATAGGCTCGGAGGAGTTAGGGTACAAACAAACACACATTTCTTCTTTATATAGACATACAGATTGCTCGATACGTACCTATATATATATACATATAGGCATAATATAAAAGTGAGTATATGTTATATTTATACTCGATAAACGCACGTATACTTATAATATAAACCTGTTTATATATAATATTGCTCGATACATAGCTGTACAGAGGGTATAAAATAAGCATGTCTGTATACTATTATTACGTGGTTAAATTATGAAAAGATATGAGATATAAGATACTGTTGCTAAACCATATAAACAATGTATTTAATGCACATCATTTTTGATTGCTCTGACTGCCCCCCCCCCAGTAATATGCTGAATTGCGTTATGTCTCAGTGAAACGTAATAAGCAGAAATTGCAAGCCTAGGGAGTATCTACCGAGAACAAAACTAAAAATCAAGCAATCAGTGAGTACAGCTAACTAAATATAGTTTTCTTATGTTCATATTTATAAAGATTGTTGACGATACTTTCGGCTGTAAACCCAATAATATCTCACGTGGTTAGGCCAGACTAGGCCTAATTCCTCTTACAAAGTACAGAAAAAAAACTAGATATATTAAACATTTTAACCAATATTGTTAACGAAAGTAGCATTAAGGAAGTAATAGAGAATACCTTAATTACGCAATACACTAGTTGTTAGCTTTAAGAACTGTCGTACATTTAATGCTCTTTGGACAACGTCACATCACCATGATCGTGTATAAGCAAAACCTTCCACAATCTTCCCTTGAAACGTCTTGCAACCAATGTTCTTGATGATTGAAATGAAAAAGAGCGAAACCATTTAATAAGCTGACGTTATATACCCTTTTTGTTTTGCTTAAATCTTATCATAAAAAAAATCAATTCACATTTAATTAAGATAACAGCGACGTTAACTCATAATTTTTAACACTCAGAGCTCCTTATCATATTTAGAGCTTAAGTTTACAACATATTCTCAGTACGACAAAAACATCAAACGTATCTTTTATTTTTTAAACCTATTGATAGAAGAGAATTGAAAGACGCAAGTATGAGTGCACCAGATGATTTCATCTCGCTGTCAGCTTCTTATAACTTCATCCATAGAAGTGTGTAGAAATGTGTTGTTAGAGCAAAAAGCAAAGAAGGAAAAAGTTTCCTTGGTGCGAGGCTATCTACAATAACGAAACTGTTCGAATGAAATTAAGTGGGGGTACCCTGGTGAAAGAAAATGGATATATGAATATTACTCTTACATTTGGAATTTCCTACAATTTGGTTTATATTATTTGAGTTGTTTATTTATAATTCTAGTATTATGAGTTTAGTAAACAACTTATTTATAATATATATCAATCCTTTGTCCTGATTTAAAACAGCCAAGCGATATTGATATTTTTTATGAAGTATCAATTTAATAAGGAATAAAACTTATTAAAAACAATTGTTCATCTTCATACTCCATTGCTCATGAAAAAAGTGTTAAATACAAAGTTTTACTTCATAGCGATATAAATGTATGAAATTATATCAATTCTGGTAATTACAATTTCATTTTAAACAAACGTGGGGAACAAACGTTACACATTGTAAATCCCTTAAAGGACTAAAGCTTAGGGAACAAAGGTTACATGTTGTAACTCTCTTAAAGGATAATAAAACTTGGGGAACAAACGTTACACGTTGTAAATCCCTCAAAGGGCACTAAAGCTTGGGAAACAAACATTACATACTGTAACTCCCTTAAAGCAGAATAAAACTTGGGGAACAGACGTTACACATTGTAAATCAGTTAAAGGACTAAAGCTTAGGGAACAAAGGTTACATGCTGTAACTCTCTTAAAGGAGAATAAAACTTGGCGAACAAACGTTACACATTGTAAATTCCTTAAAGATGGGGAACAGACGTTATATGCTATAACTCTCTTAAAGAAGAATAAAAGTTCAGGAACAAATATTACACCCTATGACTCTTTTGAAGGAGGCTAAAACTTTGGGAAGAAATGTTACACACTGCAACTCTCTGTAAGATAAAAGCTTACAATGAGAAACACAAATAAAAACGTTGATACTGAGATCTAACAGTTATAAAGTTTTTAATAACTGGATTATATATAAAAACGCCCACAGTATACTCCATAAATAATTCGTTTTAATCGAAACAACGTTTACGGCTTCATCAGGGTTCTTACAAAATAAAAATAAAACAATTTAAAAAATGTATATTATTGAGCATAAAAACTTGATTTTTAAGAGAGTTAAATAAATATACAAAAATACACCAATTTTGTTTGTTAGGTCTGAAATGGACTCGTTTTATTTACAGTTCTCACATTATCAAATCTTGCTATGTTATTAGTAGTGACAGTTAACTAAGTGGTAACGATATTCGATGTATCTAAGCAAAAAAAAATAATTTATTTCTTTGAAGATTCTAGCTTTCTGTGATAAACACGTAAAGGTAAAAAAGAAGAAAAATTATGCGAATGATGAAAATGAAAGAAACTTCTTTTTGATATATCTTCTATCGTAATAGATTAGTGACAACAGTTTTGTTAATGGTGCAATAGAGAACTTTCCTGTTCTATTCAGTGAACCCGGTAGAAATACGTGTTATTTCAACCCACCGCCATTTTGCTGCCGGTCGACAGTTTGGAGTAGAATGTCAAACAACAGGATCTCGTCCTCCTCCTCACATCACCTGGTGGTTAGGAACCCGAAAGATGGAAGCTGCCATTGAGACCGTCGGGGATGATGGAAACCAAACCCTCAGTAATCTCGTCTTTACGCCCTCTAGCGAAGATAATGGAAAATACTTGTCCTGTAGAGCAGAGAACCCTAGGTTGCCAGGAAGAGCATTAGAGCATGGGATTACTTTGAATGTGTATTGTAAGTATTCCTTAATGTTCCACCTTCTAACTTGCATATGTATAATATATCACGTTAGATACGTATTGGGGCCCGGCATGGCCAAGTGGTTAATGAGCTCGACTCGCAATCTGCGGGTCGCGGGTTCGAATCCCCACCAAACATGCTCGCCCTTTCAGCCGTGGGAGCGTTATTATGTAACGGTCCAAGAGTAAAAGAGTATCCCAAGAGTTGGCGGTGGGTGGTGGTGACCAGCTACTTTTCCTCTAGTCTTACACTGCTAAATTAGGGTGTAGCTTTGCGTGAAATTCAAAACAAACAAACAAGATACATATTAAAATTTAGTCATTACTTCTTTGTCCAAATCATGTGCTACTATATTATTGTCTAAATGAAGCCGGTATATATGTTCAGGTACCATGTGGTACTAGAATCTTGGGCTTGTCTTGTGAAGGCTCGAAGTATTTTTCCTAGATAATTTTATGGCGGTTCTTTCAAATATTAATGTTTCAATTTCGTAGCAAAATAAGAACATATCATTTGAGATAACATATTGAAAATATAAAATAATACACATATATCATATTAAGCTATCAAATGATATGAGAAATCAAACTAACGTCTGTTAGAATCATAAGTATTGTGTTTATTTTTCAACAAGAAACTAAAATCTTTCTTCTATGTGTTTTTATCGCACAGACACTCATAACTAGTATAGTTGCAGTACTCCATCCTGTTGTGGTACAACTCGGAGAGGACGGTTCTCGAATTCCTTCTGTACAATAGAACCCTACAAATATTATCTTGATTTATTTAAACAGTAAGTTGGCAAAACGAGAATCGATACAATAAAACAGGTCGTAACACATTGGACTTTATGCACACTAACTTTTTGAAGAGCTGCCGTTGATAGCGGTGTTTCTATTCTTTGCGATCAATAAAACAAGCTTGTTACTTGGTTCTGTTTGCTTGTTGAATACCCGGATTCATGTGTGTGTGTGTGTGTGTGAGAGAGAGAGAGAGAGAGAGAAAAAGACAAAAAATTTGACTGTTGAGATAGCCGAGTTGAAACAGATACCACGAACTTGACAGGCACCATTAATCTTTATTGCTGTAGGAGATACTTGCGGGAATGTCTTTAGTGGAAGCATTGCGATTATTGCCAGCTGTGTGGTTTAATGTATGTCAGGTTTTGTTTAGATTTCTGTGAATAGAGTAAGCAACATATAAATTACGTTGAAAAAGCGTAATGCATTCATTCATAGTTTTATACTTGCGCAAATGAATTTTTCATTTTGTCGTCTCCACTATGCTCAAATTGAAACGGCAAATGGGCTCATAAGACAAACTATTCGTTGCAATCTTTACGCACTGCATGTGGAAAGACGAAGATTACACATGTATCTGTTCATAAAATAAAATTATGAATGAAAAGACGAAATTTGTGGGTTTCAAATGTTTGAAATACGAATATAAGTATACTACGCTAGGTTGCTTGTATAAGATCTATCGTTATATAACGACTGATTTTATTAACTAAAATAATGAGCACCAAAATCGAGTTCGAAGCATTTATTTTTATTTTTAAATAAAACACCAGCCATATATTTCTGTCCATCCTTAACTGCCCCCCAGTGGCACAACGGTATGTCTGCGGAATTACAACGCTAGAATCCGGGTTTCGATACCCGTGGTGGGCAGGGCACAGATAGCCCATTGTGTAGCTTTGTGCTTAATTACAAAACAAAACCATCCTTAATTTCATATAGAAAAAGTTGGGTTTGTTTGTTTTTGAAGTGGTAGCCGCTTCTAATTTTGAAGCGATGAACTAAGAGGGAAGGAAGCTAGTAACACTACTCTCTGACAACTTTTGGGCTACTCTAATAGAGTAGTGAGATATGACCGTCACTCTTATAACACACACGACCATAAAGTGAGGAGCATAATTTTTTTGGCGATAACAGGATGCGAACCCCACAACCTCAGGTTCTCACGGGTAACATGGTGCGAACCCCACAACCTCAGATTTTTCACAGTCCGGCACGGTAACTGCAAGGCCCCGATCTGTCCTATTGAAAAATAACTCACATATGTAAAAGTTCTGTATAAGTCTCCTAGGGATGTGCGTGAATCCCAATTATTGATCCCACAATTCGCTGTTGATAGAGACACCATTTATTTTTAAATTTTGTAATTTTCTGGTATTTTAAGCAAGACGTACTCATTTCAAACATGTTGAGCAGTTAAGAAAATAATTTACTATTTTAGTTTAATAGTAACAAATACAATTGTTGCTTAGAGTAAATATAAAACTAAATACATGAGTTTGAGCTTAAAACTAAAGACTATTATGTGAAAATTGTAAAATTCTGTAAAAAAAAAAATAAACCAATCAATGGTAAAAATTAAATGTTCACATGTTCTCTTCTTTCTGCGACGGCCAGACATAGCCTGGTGGTTAAAGCGCTTGACTCCACTCGCAATATGATGGTTGCGGGTTCGAATTCCCGTTGCACCGAATATTCTTGCTCTTTCAGCCGTCGGGGCGTTAGAGTGTGACGGTCAATCCCACGCTTCACTGCCCAATTAGGGACGGCTAGCGTAAATAGCCCTCTTGCAGCTTTGCGCGAAATTCAAAACAAAACTTTTTCTGCAGAAAAAACTCTCTATTTTTGTGTAATCAAAACATTTGAGCTATCTGTGAATAATACACATTTTTATAGAGATTTTTATGTTTTTATTAGCATTAATGTGTATGCTTAGTTTGTCATAGCTCGTTTTATATAATAGATAAACCCAAGGTTTCGGTGACACTGGGACATGGCCAGGTGATGCAACGGATTCAGACAGGCGATGACGTTTACCTTCATTGTCAGTACAGCTCTAACCCGGAAGTGACTAGAATAGAATGGCAGTTCCAGCGAGGTACTCTAATAAGCAATTCTCGCGTCGGAGTTTTTGTTCGCAACCAGTCTCTTGTGCTGGAGAACGTAAGAATGGAACAAAGCGGCACCTATCGATGCTTAGCTGATAACGAGGAAGGTCGAGGAGAGAGCGAGGGATTGGAGCTCAACATCAAATGTGAGATCCAGAAAATTAATCTTCTTTAAGACTATATACTTAAAAAACAAAACAAAAATGACAAACGTATTATTTGATGCAAATCCGAACATTTAAATTTGTAAATGAGAAAATTAGTTTTGAGGTCTTTCTGAACAAAACAGTTAGCTTTCCTCTTATTATCCCGAGAGATTAGTGAAAATATTATCAGACTAGAGACTTGCACTGCCATTAAGCTCTTTAACATATAGCATACACATTTTCACATGATAAGTTGCTTAAAAAGCAACATATGGATTCCAATAAACGTTAATGGGCACCACTAGTTAAACTCCAAGTAGTCTACTGAGCCAACCAATGAACAAACTGCACATCTTTGGCTGCGTAGAAACGTTATAAATTGTTACTTTTTTCGCACAAGTAACCATTGCATACCTTCTTCAGCATATAACACACGGTGTGCTATTAATACCACATTTGGCAAGAGTGGATCAAGTAAACAAAATCGTGTCGTGAATGATTTGAAGAAAAGGGTTATCAAAAAAGCCCATCATAATACGGACTGAAGTTGTTTTCTTGCTGTAGTTCTACAATTTACACGTTTATTGGAAATAATGATTATCATTGATTTTATTAAGTTTAACAGTGATCTGTATATGACAGGTCAATGCAAGTTTGGGCAGAAAATTAGTACTTTTCTTGGTATTAAACTTTCTTCTTAAGAAACCTCTGCTTGCGTTGTCTTAAATTTTAGTATCTTAAAAATGAATGTTTTTACAGAATATTTTATAAATCATAGTGGTTCCGGATGACCATTGACTATACAATTTGTGGTTACACATGGAAATTTGATTTCAAAATATTTATATATTTACTAGCAAAGGTACCCATCACTGATTGGTTTTAAAACGTAATGCTACAAATGGAAGCATGAGCCGTCCCTTCTACTTTTTTGGGCTGTAGAGTGCAAATTGTTTTTCCCGTGCAAAGATACCTGTGCTACGTGTGAATTTAAATGTCACTTTCTTTTGCCAACGACTTCATGCATTTTGCAATCACCCACTTGACACAGCTGAGCCCTTATTCGTGGCGTTAGTGCTGGAAAATTGAAATAGCTGCCAAAGTAGAACTGTCCATGTGATTGCTTATTTATTCAAACTAGACTTTTGGAAGCCAATCTTAGTTCATCTACTAAATTTCATTGAAAATTGTTTATCCAGTTCCTCACAATCACTCATGACACCAGACAGACAGATGGACAAGTTTGCTATATATATATATATATGATATATATATAAAGATATCCAAAATTAAAAGAAAATAGAGATGTAACATAAATTTCGTTTTTTTTGTTTTTTTTTTTACTACTTGGGAAGTCGTACTAGTGGAAAAAACTCAGACTTTTAAACTAAACTTTTACTTTGATATGTGGAATGTGTTTAAGTTTTCTACTTTTCTAGATGTCCCTGTGTGTAAAAAAGGTCAGAAGATTGCTTACGCTGTCACAGTGAATGAACTAGTGAAAGTGTCATGTGAAGTTGATGCTGATCCTGATGACGTCACGTTTACCTGGTCAGTGAACAATACAGGAATCAGTCGAGAACTGTTGTCCTTCGATAGTTCTGGTTTGAGGAGCGTGGCTCGCTACATTCCGAGGAACAAAAAAGATTTTGGGTTTTTAGCTTGTAAGGCTCGAAATATTGTCGGAGAACAGATAGAACCTTGTATTTTCACATTAATAGCTGTTGGTAAGCCAAGTAGTTTTGACTTTACTTTCAGTGAGAAAAATAAAAAATGCATATATATATCGGAATAACGATATGGTTTAACACTGTACAACAACCAAAGTTCAACGCATTAATTTTACTATGATGACCACTAGAAAAAGTTTCCAATATCCAGAAACTTACACTTGATTATCCTAATCTCAGGCTAAAAGTTTATTATGACAAACAAACCTGATTTGATAACTACTTAAAGACAATTTTCACTTTTAATGTGTTTTAATATGCGTTCTTGAGACGGTATTTTCAATGTATCCGAAGACATTTAACGAAGTTCTAATACTATACACTTTTGCCTTTAGATGAAAATAACAAGGTCAAATAATTCAATGGTTCCATTTTCTTTACTTAATTTATTACAGTATATCCTGAATATTATGTTATTAATTTTTCTTTTCCCAAGAAAACATAGATTTACTGCGAAGAATATATTTCAGCAGCGTGTGCTTTATAATAGTGTGTATAAAAATAGTGTTACTACAGTTTGGTTAACCTTCCAGAGAAATCAAAATAAATTTCTATAAAATTTTAACTGCTTATGTAAGTCATCATTGATTATTTATCTAGCTCTGTAAACATATATCATTCATCTTCTCTTTTCGAGCTTGAATCTTTAACAATCCATATAAATTTTAGTGTTTTGTTTTTAAAAGAAAAAAACGCTCGCATTGATCTTTCAGAGTTGGTATTACTCCGTAAAGACATAGGAGATAGCTAATGTTCTCGCTTTTCTATACGACGGTATAATGCATCATTAAAAATGTTAAACCTTTAAATCATCCAATGATCCACCCCATTTTCCATTCACTCTTTCAGTCACAAATCCATCGATCCATCAGCTCACGTTACTCTATAACGCCCTTTATTTATTTATGATTGTGTTTTACTCAACATTTCTGAATAAAATGGTGGTAGAAAAACAAATGTGATTATTTTTAGAATGGCCACCCAACTTCAAAATTCGCCTTTTACTCAGTATTTTTGAATAATATTAAGGTAAAAAACGTATATTAATAACATTATTATTTTCGCAGGTCCACCAAGTCCTCCAAGTAACTGTAATATTTCGAACTCAACGAATTCTACGATATTCGTCGAATGTAGCCATGGTGATGATGGAGGATTACAGCAACGCTTTCATGTAGAAGTTTACATCTTACCAAACAAGCAACTTGTAGCCAATTTAACGAAATCCAATGCCCCAGCTTTTATTTTGTCATCTCTTCCTTCAGGAGCTCGTCTTCTCCTATTAGTATATTCTTCTAATGGCAAAGGGCGCAGTGGAACTGTAACATTGACGTCATACACCCTAGAACCTGTGAAGACAGAGTCCAGTAAGCGTGAAATCTGGCTTAGTTAAAATAGAGCTATACTCGAGTTACAGTTGGCGTTTTTTATAGATTGAAAACGCCCTGTGTATTTCACTCTTCCTGGTGTTGTTCAAGTGCTATGTCTTAAAAGCGTTACCAAGTAGACCAGGAACATCATATTAACGTTTTGTATCTTCAAAAAAAAAATCGCACTGAATAACGTTCAGTTCTAAAAACGAATGTGCCATTTCTGAAAATATATAAAATGAAACCAACAATACATTAGTCAAAATACATTTTTAAAAGCAAAATATTATTATGTTCAAATTGAAATAGGTTTTTATTCATTTATCTTTTTCTTGACAAATTTCTCCTTTAGTTCTATTTTCATTTTACCCCCTTTTTATTTTCTTTAATTTTCTAATTTCTTAAAGGACTTTAGTAACAAGATTACCGTCAGAGAATATAGGTTTGAAAGGTTTTTCATATAATCGATGGATATTAATTTTTCTTTCTGCAAGAAAAAAAAAGACATTTCAAATTAAGTATTTACCCATGATGGAAAGATATAGGTTTCATTGTGGTGATGATACATACAAACTTTTTGTTGCCTTCGTAATGGTAGTTTAAAGAGGATAAGTGAAGGGCAGATGATCTTAACGACAAACAAATCGTTTGTCTTATAATTGCATACACATTTGAAAACAGAGAACTATTTTTATCCTATGAATAATATATATATATATGTAAAACGTTTACTCCTTTTTTATAAACTAACTTTAATAAATGATTTTCCAATGGTGTATAATTCTAGTAATATTAGTTTCTGAGTTAATTCAAGCTGTATTATAGCACTTTAATAGCTGTAATTACATCCTATAGGTATAATTTATTAATTCAAGCTGTATTATAGCACTTTAATAGCTGTAATTACACCATATAGGTATAATTTATTAATTCAAGCTGTATTATAGCACTTTAATAGCTGTAATTACACCATATAGGTATAATTTAAATAGATCAAATGGTTGGTTATGTAATAGCTAACAAGTACTTTTATCTAATAACGCGTTTTGATATGAAGAACATACACTTACATAAACGCTCTTTTATTTCTAGTGGTAAATAACGTTCAGGTGTGAATGCCGAGGCTGATTCTGAATTGGTATAACTAAATGGAGTGTTAAAAATTAATTAAATAATTTTATACTTATGGTTATTAGAAGTTCTAAAATGTAGTTTAATTCAAGAAAGAGAAAATTTACCATAGACACCCCATATTAAAGGAAAACAAAACTACATAGTGCAACAAATATTTCTCGAAGTTATATTTACATGAACACGGAATCAGTTTAACAGTACAAATGTTCAAAGTGTCCAGCGTCATTATCAATGCAAGTGTAGCATTTGGTCACGTAAATATTCCCACATATCGCGTGAAAAACAACAGAACTATTATCCTGGATAATTTTATTGGAAGCTCACTAGAGGGCTTTCTCTGTTTCTGGTTGAGCCTGTGACTTATTTTTAAAAGTTTATCGATTAAAATATAATATTTACGTTTTACACCAATTCATTGTTACTTATTTAGACAGAAAAATGTTTATCGTTTTAAAAATCATGTTATAATTTTTTTCCATACTTCGTTAAGAGTTGCATTTGGCCTATTATACGCTATTTTGTTTGTAACACTAGTAATAGCACACCATCTAATTTCCAGAAGTTCGTTTTTTTTTAATAGAGAGTTTTGTTTCACGGCATCAGAGTCAAACTTTAACAGATCATGATACATTATTAAATGCTCATGTTACTATAAAAGATCCAAAACTGTATTGCATGTTCTACTATTTATATATTTCGTTACAGAATACAACAGATAACTTATAATCTAAAGAGAAGAGGTGGGAACGAATAAATAGGTGGGTAGTAGAAATATAAAAAAGTAACTCACAAAACAAATTCCCACGTTACAGTGAACTCTAATATTTTATGTCCATTTCAACACGAATTTGATATGATTTATATTAAGGTATTCGCAAGTCACCTCGACTAAGACCTCTTCTTGGCATTCTACTTGGAGTTGTGGCAGCTTTGGGCTTGATGGCCTTATTCATTGTCATTTTCTTCAGAAGACGAAGAACTAGGAAACAGAACACTGCAGGTAATAATATACGACAATGTTTTAACTTCCGTTAAAAATATACAATAATGTTTTAATTCTTTTTACACCTTTTGGTTATATAAACGTTAAGGTTTCAATATTGTAACAATAAACTAATGGCTTCGGAGAAAGTAAACATTTTTTGCGTTTTTCAATTCACGTAATACTGGCTGGAGCATAGAACACACAATTACGAATAAATAAAATGTCCGTGAATTCCAAAGAATCTTAGAAATTTATTCATTTTTTACTCAACATATCGGCTTTACGCCTTCATCAGAGCATACAGTTTCTACAGAAGAAACTGGAAAGGCCTTCCATTAACGTATCAATGAACACATTTTGAACATGAACAAAGCAGGAGTGCAGTGGTTGAACACTATATCTTGAATTATGATATACCAAAGATTTAAAAATCCGACGATTTCTTTGATCGGAAAATTAAGGAACCACTTCTTATGAAAAAATATAAACGACCAACCATTATAAATATAACTGATGACCCCTCTCTTAAATTTAACTAAATTGTTTGTAGGTAATAACTTACACGTTATTTACTCTGTTTGTCTAATTTTATTTAACTTTCTCGTTTATGCTTTTATTTTACTATGTAAAATATTCTTTCTTTACATTGTAATAACTTTTACATTATATTGTTGACGTTTGTACCATTGGCTTCGTTATAATAGCAACGATCACATGCATGATAAATTCTCTTGTGTAGAATAATTCTTAGAATACAACGGTCCTTATTGGAGCGATAGAGTTCATTACAGAAAATGTATGCTGCTGATGAAGGCATAAAGGCAAAACGTTGAGCAAAAGATCAATTTGTAAGACTCTGTGGAGTTCACGGACGTTTTATTTATTTGTAGAGAGTAAAGACGGTAGAATAACAAAGCTAATAACTACGAACAATTATCTAACTTTCTATATGGGTTTACGTGATCCTAAACTTCTGGTGCTTACTGTCTTTAGTTTTAACAAAAATAATGAAATAAATATTCAAAAAAAAAAAAGATGTTAACTCAGTTTTGGAAATAAGCTGTACTTTAAACTGTACGTGCCCCCCCCCCCCCCCCACAGTGGCACAGCGGCATGTCTGCGGACTTACAGTGCTAGAAACCGGATTTCGAAACCCGTGGTGGGCAGAGCACAGATAGCCCATTATGTAGCTTTGTGCTTAATAACAATCAAACAAACTGTACATAAATAAAAACACACAACCTACTAAAAGATGAGCATAAAATTAGAAATTTGCACGGATTATATACTGTTGCGATTTGTGTAGATTTTTCTGTAATTGTTACTGTTACAAGAGAAGATAACAAAGCTTTTATAAAGATTTCTAGCGAAACTTCGTGGTCCTTGGAACTCGAGAAAAAGTATTAGAAATACTACAGTATAATCAAAGTCCATAACTTGACATTTAATAGTTACCACTATTTGTGAGATTTCTAAAAACAAAACATTTTTCTATAAGAAAACTTTTTACAAATCTAAACTACAACCATCACAGAAGCTGTAAAACAAAGCTGGGAAGAATATATATATATATATAATTTTTATCCTCTGATTTGATGTCTGATCAATTGATAATGATGACTTTTAATATACTGGAAGTACAAGCTCTAAAACTAATTATTTGAACAACTTATATTTTTTACTTCATAGGATAATTATGAGAAATACAAGAGGATATAAAAGAAGATTAGAAATTTCTTAAACAATATTATAGAATTCGTTTCCTTTCAATTAGCATAGCTTATATAAAAGTACGGGAGTAAGTTTCACAATAAAAACACTAATACACTTTAGGGACTCGGAAAACGTAATTAATGAGTATTACGTTCTTTTTTTATTTAGGAAAAGCCTTACAAACCTCTTGTAGCATGTTTCTCATTGTTACCGCAAGATGGTGTACTAAACTTTTCTTTTTGGAATACGTGGAAGCAAATTATTTGATAATTTTTCAAAAGGCCAATCTTGATCTATATACCATGCCAAGAGGATAGAAAACTATAATAAGTTTAAGAAGCTTGAATAATACAAACTAATGATGAAACTTATACATCTTGAACTTATATACAGCCAAAACGAACGATAATATAATGTTTTAAACAAGAATGCTTTATTTTGTATTAGTTACACGATTAACAACACTTATCTAAAGCGACAGCCGTGAAAGTTGAAGTTTTTAATTTTTTACGCTTTTTATTTTCACACGAAATCATTTCTTTGAAATATATTCAGAAAATACAGTTAGCTCTAATAATTGATGGGTAATGCAAACATAAGATAATATTTAGCTCAAAAATTAGTAAATACAACCGATATTAAACCAATGAAATGAAAAATATATATACCTTTGTTTTAAAACGATAACTCCATTCCAAGTTTTGTGTGGACCACAGTGATATTTATTAAGAAAAGAAAATGTCGAAGTTCTATATCTGCATATACGTATAATTTAAGGACAACAACAGGCCTTTTGGTCCATCTAGGCAGTTCCATTCAGGAAACGGAAATTTAATATAAAAATAAAACACTCAAAGTCACCCGTTTTCATTCAAATATTTATCAAACCTTCCCTTAACTGCATCATCATATCTGTAGGTAACCCAACCCAAAAGCCAACCACCCTTTTCGAAAAATAAAGCTGTCTTAGTTGAAGTTGACTCATACCAAAAATTATATTTGTGTCGCCACCATTCTCACAATTAAGGGAATTGTACAGTATGAATTAATTGCCATTCGAGCAATCCAAAGGAAGATATTTAGATATGAAAAGCTTCAGAGACAAACGTATATTATTACAAATTGCAGCATCATTAAATTGTACTAAAAACAACACGATCAATTTCATTATAAAAACTAAACAGCGAGCTTTACAACGCTAGAATTCGGTTTCGATACCCGTGGTGGGCAGAGCACAGATAGCCCATTATGTAGCTTTGTGTTTAATTACAAACAAACAATTTAATTTATTACTGTACTTTAGTAGGAAAGGTGAAATTCCAAATGTCACGTTGCCCAGTTTTTACTGTAACATTTTATGTAATAATTGTTTGTCCGCAGACATACTGCTGTGCCACTAGGGGGCAATAAAGTAAATAGCTATTATAGACGTTTATTACAATACTTAAATATGCAGGAGTAGTATGTTGACAGTCGATAATGGCATGTTAATGTATATATTATAATTATACTGGATAAAGCAGTTTCCAACTGATCTTGGCCTTAGTTTTTGTTACACAGTGTAAACTCATTTCATGTTAAGTTTTTATGTTTTAAAAGATGTTTACTATAGAAATTAGATTTAATTTCGTTTTACGGATAACACCATACCGGCCTGCGTCAGCTTGTCTGCTTTGGAAGGATAGTAATATTATGTTTGTTTGAGATTTTTGCATAAAAGCTACACTAAGGGATACCTGCGGGTATCTAGTCATAAATCTTGCACTGATTGACTAAAGGGAAGGCAACGAGTGAAATGCATCCACTGGCAGGTCTTGGGTTACTCTCAGCTGACCATATAGCGGGATTCGACAGTCACTCATATAACCCACCCACGGTCCCGAAGTGTAGAATGCATTTCTGTTGAGACAAGGAGTGAATTAAGGAACAAAGAATCCTTAGATTCATAACCAGGTAGGTTAGGTTAGGTTAGACCATTCCCGGTCTGGACAGTAAGGACTACAAATACAATACTTTAAGATAAATATATGAAAAGTTTTACTTAGATTATTTTGTCTACTAATTATTTTAATCAAGGTAGAATAAATGTCTTAATGTTAGTTTGTTCTAATAATACACATTGGATTACAATGTTACTCATACATGTGTTAAAATATTACTCATTACATACATTATATTTTTTTCTTTTCTTTCAGATGAGGGATATGATCAAGACGAAAAGTAAGAAAATTTTTGTTGATTTTATTCATACAATAAGAGGTTCATGCTCTTTTTAAACACATTCTAAAATTTCAGAGGGAGCTATGGTACGATTCTTAATTATATTATTGCGTTATTGTATTTTGGCTTATCAATTATAACAACATGTAATTTTACATGAAACGTTTTGAAGCTGAAATGTGTCCAATACTGAACCGTTTAACGATCTGTAAACATCAGAACTCATCAGACTGGCTGGGAATGATTTCAAAATGAAGTTTGGAACTAAGTAAATAATTTTAATAGAGTCATAAAGAACAATTATGCATTTTGTATCAGATTAGCCTTTTACGTGAACGTGTTTACTTAGCCCTGAAAACTTGCTAGTATGAAGGTTTAATAGTAGAATACTTGAAACCTAAATGTAGGGGTATTTTCCTGTTTCTCAATTCAACTGGGTTATGAATAAAAACAAGTGTATGATGAATGCATGCAGAAAACAACTAGAAAATGCGCCCATTAATCATACTATCTAGGGATTTAAGAAAAATACACCCAAGTGCCCGAACACTTATCTATTTCATAACTTACTCCCCGCTTTTTTTTGTACCATCAAGATTACAATAGCGTGCAAAATATTAAACGAGTCTCACTAATGATATTTTACCCAATACAATACAATACGTAAAATAACAAGACAGAGTTCAGGCGAAATTCACCCTAGTATCCCTAAAACAGCTGCTGAGACAATCTGAAAGCTGTTTTTTTTTTTAATCATCTACAACACTAACACTCACAAAATCTGATACATCATGATCACTTTTATGTATTTCCTTGAACGAGGCGATTGACGAATAATCGTATAAACACCGAACGAACGGTTTCATTTCATAATTTTTGTCCGTTTCCTTATTTAAGTAATAGTAACTATTGACGAATGATAACTTAAACACCTATTTTGGATGTATTTTGCTATATTTTTTTGTTAATATAACTTTTTTATTTTTGCGTAAACATTAACTAAAATATCAGTCTTATAAGTGAAGAAGTTCCACATGATAAATCACTAATCATACGGACCACTAGAACATGTGCCATATAATACTCCAGCTAACGTCTTGGTGTACCAAAGGTCGAACTTTTCCACATTTATCATCAGTTTTACTATAAACCCTACAAAACATTATGGTGTTTTTATACTAGCATCAACTTCGTGTAACTTTTATGTTCCATCTCTCTTACGTATTTCGCCATTGCAAATGCTATGTTTTAATGGTCATTCTTGTAACTATGTTTCACTAATATAAACGAACTACAGTTGATTCAAAGGATTTACAAATCAATTATATTTCTGTTTGCATACTTTTTTTTTCCGAATCAGTCTTAAATGCTTTTCATTAGACTTTTTCTGGTCTTTTAGAAGACGCTCTATCGACCAACTTTAATATTTGAACTGAAAAATAGGCGCAGTGGCGCAAATTAACGGTATATAAATATTTCTCTTCGCTAGTCCGAAGATAAAATGGCGATCCTTCTTGACACACTTTACTAAAATAGTACTATGAATTATATACAGCGCGAATCTGAACCCACTCCTTAGCAAAGAAGCCTGGCTATATAATATAAAGTAGATAATACTCTCAGTAGTTATTTTGTCGCGTTTTTAATTACATAGATACGTGTGTTTATTGTATTGCGTGAATCATGAATAAAATTATTAAAATATATTCACTATTACTTATAGAAAAAAAAAAGATTAATTCCACCCGCTTAACCTGGGAGTAGGATTGAGGCGGTTGCAATCAAAGTCAAAGGTTGTGAGATAAAAAATAGATGCGCTCCAGCTTTGAAGATGGAACGTTTTGATGTTCGGAAGTTGAACTCTGGAAACAATCACGCTTGATTTAACGTTTTAGTAGAACCACGTGCAGAGCGGGTTGCAAGAAACAGTGACTTATACACTTTCTCTAATCAATTTACTTGTGCAACATTTACTGAAGCACTTAATCTGATCATATTCCACTAAAGAGGCTTAGTAATGTCAGAGTGAAGCAATGAGAATGCAAATGCAATATTGTAGAATATAGATTTTATACTCTAAACGAAACTAATAAGACAATACGTTTAAAGAATTGCTTAAATGGGATGAGCATCAGAAAGAAAAAAAGAAACACGAAATTCGTATCGTACATTTTACTGTGTGAATAAAACGTTTTATTAATTCAAAGCTTCAGCCAACTCCTGATTAATTAATTTTCATAGGATCTGAATTGGTTCTAAGGACTACATAATCTTAGTGTCAAATTATAATTTTCGAGACAAAAGACCATTCTTGTTGAAAGGAAGACTCCATTGTTGTCATTTAGTAGTTTAACATCGATTAGCAAGAATTAGCGTACAGTTTCTATATAGACAACTATTTAGGTGCGAATAATCTTATTAAATGTTTTAATAAAACCCTTTTATAGAGTAGCAGCATTTAAATTTATATTATGAGAATGAGAGTTAAAGTCGATTAATTCAAAGCTATACCTTGAGACGAAATATTGCAAAAGGTTCGTTTGATTGTTAACATCGTTGTATCTAAACGTCTTCACTTTTTATGCATTAGCTGACATGTTTCCAAACCTACCGTGAAATGCGTTTTTTCTAGCATTTGTGGTTTTGGCTCGTTTGTGGTAGATAAAACTACTTCGCATCATAATAGTAATAAAGTTAACAAGAGCGAGCTCACGAACCTACCACGAACCACTACAGTAATAATGAATCTTTAAATACCCAATTCCATGGTAACTGCACGTTTAATTTTACTTCAAATTGTAATTCAAATAGTAAAGATTGAAAACTGGATATTTTGATTTCTTTGTCATTATAACCAACGATTGTTATAACTGTACTCCATTCAAGATAGAAAGCACGGAGTATTTTGTATGTGGAACATGGAAAAAAAAGGTAATTTGTTACCAGAGCATTCTTACTCTGCTTTTTTTTATAATCAAGACTTCAGATTGTAACACACACTAATTACAGTAAATGGACTTTTCTTGTGAGAGAAATTGATCATGATGTTAAACTGTAAATATGTAACGAAACAAGTACAATTAAGTAAAATTAGGCGAGATATTAAAGCTCAGGAAAACATTATACTTATGTACGAGTAAACACAGACTACTTTATTGTGTTATTACAATCTCACACAAGCGCGATTACAGGGGGTGAGTTGGTAGCTTGTTGAATCACTCGCTGTGGTTAAAATACGCATTTTTCATTATAAAACATTGTTGTAAAGGAACTTGTCCTTAATGAAAGTGTTTTAACCTCATTAATACGTCTGCTGTACTTCCTACGAACTCCTGTAATGTTAAAAGTAGGCAAAATGTTATGTGTTTATCTGGCATAAACTATTTTGATAAAGTATAATAAAATTATAATTTTTCCTAATTTTTGTATAAGCGTTTCTTTTTCTGATACCTCTAAATTTGAACCACAAAATTCAGGTTTAACTCAATGACTCAAGACTTCACCATCAGCAAGGCCGTGACCTCTAGTGAACCTGACCTCATCACCATACAGAACAATTCTCCGAGTGAGTACAGTTTATATGAAATAAAAAAGGACTGTGGAAGGCCTAGTTAAATAGTACTAATTATGCATGTCATGAGCAGTTGTTCAAGTATTTGGTCAATAAAAAACATAAAAAAGTTTGCTTCGTGTAGAATTGGACTGGGAGTAAGCCCACTCTTAATATTAATAATTCCGCTGTTGTTTCACTCCAAGGATTAATGCGCATATTCAAAATAATTAAGTTTCAAGCTGTGTCAAATCCTGCACCATTAAATCATGCGCTTTCAATCTACCTATCGTTTATATATGTGTAAATTTCAAGAGAGTACTATATAAATCAAAAACCTTCTACCTTTAGGAGTAATTATTAATTTAACAACATAACTGCAAGGTATTTTCTGGCTTTAGATTCAGAACCGTAATATCAATATTTCAGAAACAAATGTTATACAACAAAACAGCATGAAGTGAATTTCATATATTTATATATAAACATATATGTGTGTTTTCTTTAAATTTAAGTAAATAAACGAATAACAAGTATTCTGAAACGTTAGAAGTGCATTGTTATACACTAACTAGTATGGGCAATTTGCAAAACAAAATACTTTTATAAAATAGGTCACAGAGTCGTGTTCCACTGCTTCCAGAACACGCTTCTTACGAAAGAAAAAAACTACATATTGAGATTTATTTATAACAAAGTCTGTATTGAAGAATTTTCAGAGACAACTCCTGTTTCATGTCACCCTGAAGATATTAGGTGGTATTCTACCTACAAACTGGCAGGCTTAGTGCTTGCACTTTATATAAAAGATGGCGTGAGACTAAAAGCTATCTATGCCCTGCCCACCACTGGGAGCGAAAGTAAAGAAAAAATCAAATAAAGATACAAGAATGAAAAATACAATTGACAGAGTGTTTACTTAAATGTAACTAATATATGATATAACAAAAGGTATTACGAGTCATCATCAGGGTATAACATCCTTACAGAAGTCGTGTCATACAAACAAAATAGGTTGCATTATTATCTATTAGACTTTAAAAGATCAAGCTCTTCAAGTAATGTCCCAAAGATAAACTGACAGAAGATCACAACAAAGAATTGGTTTATTTCATTAAAGGACAGGTGCGCAAATATTAATTACGAAGCTAATCTACTGTGGACCAAAGCTAAACAATGATATTAATTACGAAGCTAATCTACTGTAGACCAAAGCTAAACAATAACGCAAACTTTCTTAACAGATCAATTACTTATCTAAACGTATGTGAGTTAATTATCAAAGTAAAAAAAAATCATTTATTTTCCACTGATTCACAAATAAAGTAATATAAAACGAAATGTACTTGTCTATTTATAGGTTATAATTCAGGGGTCTTTTAAATAACAGGTGTTTAAATATTTTATGTATATGTATATATAGACGTAATGGAATATTCTATATGTACTACCATCCCATATCAATACAGAAACCGCCATTTTCAAATAACTGATATTATAAAAGAGGAAATGAAAACCGAAATTTATTTTCAGAGTGATAATATAGAGAGTTACATTTGTTTTTGCTAATGTCTTCTTTTTAAGTCTGCGGTTCGAAAAAAAGATCTCATGACAGTGCTTCGATAAGGTGACTAAAGTTTACTTTTACTCCGTCTCCGGAGGCGGCGCTTGAGTTGATTTATCCAGAATTTTGTCTGTATCCGTGTGAGCTTATAAAAATTGGTTACTGTATTTGGAATACATTTAGCGGAAGGGCCTAGTTGCAAGATAGTTTAAAGACAGTAAGTAGTTCTAAGATCAGTGCTGTAGTAGCAACCTTGAATCTTTGGTTTAGAGATAGGATTATTTTCTGAAACAAAACAAAATTATACCACCTATGTGGTAGAATTGTGTTACGTCTTATAACAGAGCCTTGACCTATAACGTTAACTCCAAGTAACATTGTGGTATGTCGATTCTGTTTATAACAGAACCTTGACTTCTAAAGGACGAAATCACAGTCTATGTTTTTAGTCATAGCAACTATTCAATATTGTTGTATTTTAATATACTACCAAAAGAATGTTATAAAAGCAAGATACTTCACTGAATCAGTCTAGGTTTTCTACACAGCGACTTATAGACTGTTAAAAACCTTTCCGCACATCCTATACAGCCATTTTGTATTATTTATTTCTTGTAAGTCTAATCCAGCAACGTGATTTGAAGGAGGTTTCTGAAAAATCTTAAATTTTGAACTACAAAACTGTAAATAGCCATCCAACCTTCAGGAAAAAAATACTAATACTAGTACCATTAATATTTTTATTTAACTGCTTAATGGCATCAAAGCAGCAAATTAACTATTTTGGATTGATTTCTGATTATATAGGCATACTAAAACTTAAATGATAATGTACTAGTATGTTAGTAGTATAAATGTGCCTCATCCGAGAACGCCATTTGCCATGTACTGTATCGATTTCATTAACGAATCAACAATATCTACTCTTAAATTGATTTTCATGCAAAATTATATTAATGGTTTATTCCCAAAGTATTATCTTCAGTTGGTTAGAAAATACATATATATATATATGATGAATAATAAGAACCTTCTTTATGTTCTCAAAGAGTTTAATTAGGATAAATAAAAAAAGAGTTTAATTAGGATAAATAAAAAGGAGTTTAATTAGGATAAATAAAAAGGAATTTAATTAGGATAAATAAAAAGGAGTTTAATTAGGATAAATAAAAAGGAATTTAATTAGGATAAGTAAAGAGTTTAATTAGGGTAAATAAATAATTTAATTAGGATAAATAGAAAGGAATTTAATTAGGATAAATAAAAAGGAGTTTAATTAGGATAAATAAAAAGGAGTTTAATTAGGATAAATAAAGATTTTAATTAGGGTAAATAAAGAGTTTAATTAAGATAAATAAAAAGGAGTTTAATTAGGATAAATAAAAAGGAATTTACTTAGGATAAATAAAAAAGAGTTTAATTAGGATAAATAAAGAGTTTAATTAGTATAAATACAAAATTGTTTAATCAGGATAAATGCAAATGTGTTTAATCAGGATAAATACAAAAGTGTTTAATCAGGATAAATAAAAAGAAGTTTAATTAGGATAAATACAAAAGTGTTTAATCAGAATAAATAAAAATTAGTTTAATCAGGATAACTAAAAATGAGTTTAATTAGGATAAATAAAGAGTTTAATTAGAATAAATTAAAAATAATTTAATTAGGATAAATAAGAATGAGTTTAATTAGGATAAATAAAATATAATTCAATGAAGATAAATAAAATAAAGTTTAATTAGAATAAATAAAAATAGTTTAATTAGGATAAATAGAAAATAGTTTATTTAGGATAAATAAACAAATAGTTTAATTAGAATAAATATTTTCAGTTTCCCATATATTCTAAATCAGTTTCTATGGCTATTAGCTTTCATCTACTTCGTAGAGTAATTTATATAATACTTGGTGCAAAAAATCTTTCTGAAAAGATGTTTTGAGCCGTAAACTCCAGACTGTGAAATGATAAGCGTCAAGATGTGAACAAATAAAGTAGTATTATAGTTTCAATACCATCTCTAAGTGTTAGATCATAAAGTATAATCTATTTATAGAAACTATACATTCATTTGTGAATCTTTTGATTAGCTACTGTAAAAGATCTGTATGGTAGCGATGGGCGAACGCTATATGTTACCCTAATATTGTAAGAGTCGTTCAATATTAAATTATTACACCTTAATATCTAGTCAAAGATAAAATAAACAAACCAATTGGCAAGTTCCTTTCGTGCTGATCCTGGAGAATATAATCAGGTACTTAACTGCACGTGATTAATACAGAAATAGCCATACCTTACTTTGTTTCTTTCGGCATTGAAACATTGGGTGTATATACGGGTCTTTGATGTTGCTGAGTAGAAATTAAGTTAGCGAAATTAACTGAGAGTATTGTAAGTAAAAAACAAAAACTGTCAGAATAGTCCAAGATCGGTATTTGGCGTTTTCAATTTAGCTGCACGTTATCCGACACATGAATTAAAAGATAAGATCCGGGACATTAAGTTACAGGCTTATTTCGAATCGAATCTTAGATATTTTAATCCACAAACTGGCATGATAACCACTAGGTTACGCCCTGACCCGAAAATATAATACTAAAATTACTCAATTGAAACATAACCTTAGCATTTGATCGTGAGATATTCAAAAAGACAAGTAACCAAAATGAAACATGATTTTGAAAATAGTAACAATGTATGGGGTATATGAATTAGCAACCTGTGAGAAGTTTACCCTAAATATTTAAGAAAACAAACTGCGGAAATCTTGAAATTATTATATTGTCCCTCGATCCTATCGTTTTGTTTTTACGAGCCAATGTAAAATATAAATGAGATAGATGACAAACAGTAGTTTTCCTGAGAAGCATAACCAAACATCGGAGGAAGCATGTGAAAACTAGACATTTCTAGACATAGATGCTCACTCAGTGTGACAAGTTACAATAATGTATAACATGTGGCCGTTTCAGACACGAAAATGGAATTAAAAAAAAAGGTTTTGCGGGATTAGAATATATGAAATTTCTATATATAAAGGAAGACAACTATCGTTTATGGGGTTAGAACATGTAGCATTTCCAAACACGAAGAAAGAGAAATTTCGTTTCGTAGAATTAGAAAAAGGAGTGGTTTTAAATACAATGATGAAGATACTTGTTTCATTAGAAGATGTAGTATTTCCAGAAACAATGATTAAGAGATTCTTTTCATGCCATTAAAAGATCTACTATTTCCCCATATCCGAAAAAGAATAAATTTTCTTTCATGCGATTAAAAGATGCATTATTTCCAAACATGAAGAAGAAGTCTCGTTTCAAGCGATTAGTAAACATACTCTTTTTCAGAGGTATTAATAAGTAGAAGTGTGAATCGAACATGTATGTGACAAGAACATACAGTGAAAGTGTCAGAGCTAATTTTTTGCTCTTATTTTAAGGTTATGTAAAATCTCACAGTAAGATTTTGAAAACTAAAAAGCACTACTTCAAATATATCAACCATCAACCATAAAATATAACAAAAAAACTAAATTGTAACTTCCAAAGTACAGTTGAAAGAACATAAAGTTTGTTATCGTAATGAAATACAAGATCTTCCCGCTCTTAAACACAATTACAAAATACTTGAGGATATCTCTCATATGCATGGGTCCCAACGCTGCCCAGTGGTGAGCACGCTGGACTATGGAGTTAAGGGTCTGTGGTTCGCGTCTCTTTACCACCTAAAAAATCGCGCTCTGCATTTTAGATTCGTGTTATAAGAGTGATGGTTAAATCCCACTGTTCCGCCCGACAAGAGCAGTGTATGGTGTTGACTGATTGTCTTCTCTCTAGCTTATCGCTTCAAAATTAGGGAAAACTAGCCAGATAACCTCCGAGTAGGTTTGCACGAAACATACAAACAGTTTATGCTCAACTAAGAAGTATAAATTTTCCTTGAGCACTTTTTGTATTCTCACATTCACTGTTATCAGTAAATATGAAGAAAAACCCACGTGACTTTCTGTGGACACACTAGAGATCCATATCTGATGACAATCAAAAACGAACTATGATTGATCGAACATTGATCTTTAAGCTAGACAAAAGCCCCCCTAGCTTCCCAATAGTCTCTGTTCTTTCTTTTCCCGATAATATATTAGCGTCTATTACACCTGATTGCATCAAATGACTGTGCGCTGTTCTGAGATTTCTCTCTTGATATACATGGCTTAATACGTTAAAAATCTGACAAAAAGACTTACGAGTTTCCATCCTATTGGATGATATATATATATATATAAAGATATAGACATACACCGACTGCCGCTTTTTACCCAGACAAGAACGCTTAAGAAAATGAATCATATCAATAAAGTTTGCCTTTTTCTTTTAACTATAAAGGTTTGGACAACAGAGTGATTTTCTTAGATGAAAAATTGGTCACTTAAAAAAACGGAGATTTACGTTTATTTTATAGGTAAAATGAAGAGAAAGAGAGAGAGAGAAAAAAAGAGTCGCCAGAATTTCTCGGTTATGTATCTTTTTGAATTATTTGCCGACTTTTCGAAGAACATTTATCTTCGTGCATTATTGGGTAAAACGGAAAGATCAAACACGTGTTTCTTTGTCATCATAGGTTTCTGTCTTCTGGCATAAACAGCACAAAAAACTAATACTCAAATATTCAAGCCTTCCAGCCAAAAAGGACGCATGCGCAAAGCATATAGCTTTTGCCAATTCTGTTTGATAACCCATAAGATTTTGATTATGGTTGTTTATATTTCCTGATCTATTATTGTTGTTTTTGTTTGTCATATAACTCGTCTTTCAGCAAATTTTGCTCGGTTTGAAACCGAAGACAAGAAAAAAAGGAATTTTCAATATGTAGTTATCTTCTCCTTGTATTATAACATTCTTTCAGACTAAGAAATATTATGTTTATTGTTACGTAATAGAATGTAAACATACTAATGACAAAATATATGTAGTGATAGAAAAATAACATTTATTTTTCTACAAAGAATTGATACTTCTGCAAAAGGAGATGAACGTGATTCTATGGTTAGCGTGGCGAGCTATGGTTCGAAAGATCCAAGGCTCGAGTTGCAACATTGCCACTGAATCCATATTTTCAGCTGTAGGCGTGCTACAAAAGTAATAGTCTATTCCAATATATTTTAATGAGTAGAAGAGTAAGCAGTGGGTGCTGGTGACTGGTTTCTTTACCCCTGAACAACGGGATTGCTGACCTTGCCGTTTAGCTTATATGTTATATAAACGAGTGCCTTTCCTCCTAAACATACTGGCCAACTGTTTTAAAACAAGCCGTGTTTATATATTTGTGTTTGATTGCTTGCTGAATTTCGCGCATAGCTACTCGAGAGTTATGCGCGCTAGTCGTTCCCAGCTTTGGAGTGAAAGACTAGAGGGAAGGCAGTTAGCCAACACTACTACCCACCGCCAACTCATGGGCTATTCTTTCTACCAATGACTAATTGGACTGACCGTCACATTATAACTCCCCACGGCTGAAAGGGCGAGGATGCTTTGTAATGGGATTCGAACCCGCGGCCCGCAAATTGCGAGTCGAACGCCCTAAGGTCCACCAGGCCACAGTAGGCCTAACTTATTGTTTTCTTTAGCTGAAACATAACTAATCAGCTGTTTCATTGAAAACAAGCCGTAATTAGATACTTATGTCCCCAGGGCGGGGCACAGCGGTATGTCTGCGGACTTACAACGCTAGAAACCGGTTTCGATACCTGTGGTGAGCAGAGCACAGATAGCCCATTGTGTAGCTTTGTGCTTAACTTCAAAACAAACAAATAAGTATTACAGCGCTATACGTCTAAATATCTACGAACTTAAGTTTGCTTATTAGTTCTTAATGTTCAAAACATCAATTATTTTGAGAAAACAAAATCTCTATTAATAGACGAGACTAAAATTTGGGAGGTACGTGAGCAAAGTGATTATATTAGTCCCTTCATATTATTTAAAAATTGTGTATTGAAATCCATTCTCTTTTTTCTTATTTTTACTATTTTTAAGACTATAACAGCGTATATAAGAAAGTTCGCGCAATTAAACCCTAGATAGCACTTGGTTAGCATATACGTTCTTTGTATGAAATTCTATTACCACTGAAAAACAAACAAACTAGGTTTTAGCTCAGCTATCGTGAACTGACTTTTAAAACACTCAAGTATAAAAATATCTAAAATACAGAAATCAAAGAAAGAGAAGAACCATTCTTATATTACTTCTGTTTCTGTCTGATTCTTTCAGTTTCTACGTTTCTACCAGTCCAAAAAAGAACGAATAAAGGTGGCACATCAAGACATATGGACCGCCTTTTCTTTAAGCCAAAAACTGTCACTCAGACCGAGTCCCTGCAATTTAACGTAAAGCTACTTTTTATAATAAATTTTCTACATATAAGAATTCATTTTTTTTGTTTAAAAGCACAACACAGGTAAGATTTGATATAACTCTCTCCATGTTTATGAAAGATAACGACATTATATTTATGGTATTTACCGTCTTATGCCTACGAGCCTGATGTGTGGATCGAATGTTATTAATCTTATTGTGACGTTATTATTTTAGAACTTATTTTTTTCCTTCAAAAATTACTAGTTGTATATGGATATTTAATAAAAACTATAACTTTTAGAAAGGACCACACATCTGTTTTTTGCATATAAGAAAAACTACACGATGTAGCAAAACGACATGTAAAATCCATTTCACTACACTTCAAAAATAAAATTCCAATTCTAGCCAGATGACCAATACGAATTTTGCCAACCACAAACCAGCTTCCAGGAAGCTAAGGGGTGGACGAGTTCATCGCTTGGTCACTGCCAAGATGAACGTTCAGGATTAAGCTACATTGGTGATGCTGGCTGGAAAGACCTAGAAAATGATGTTCAGGCTAAGCACGAGCTGTTAACTGTCTCAAACCCGTCTCATCGTTGCTTGCAAGTAAGTGTAGCATTTTATTTAAACTTTAAAATGTTGTAATAACCCCTCTGAATGAAACGTTTGACTTATCTGCCACAGTATATAAAATGTATTTTCATCTTCTACAAGGATAAGAACACTTTTTTTTAATCTACGTTATTAATCATGTTAAAATGACTCAGCGCCATCTAGTTATAATGTGTGTCGTTATTTTTTTTTATCAGTCTACAACGTTAACTGAACGTATTAAATCTTGCAAAAATATTTTATTTTTACTTTCTGTATCTTATCTGAAAGAAATTGTAGTCACATGTAATTAGTTTATGCTGCTTCGATCGTTTTAGTTTTTAAGATTAACAACTTGCTTTGAAAATTATCAATCACGCAAACTCTTTTGAAACTCTCGTGCTCTATATATTTCGTAGTACTTTTCATTTATAAAGTAAGATAAAAGAAAGTGAAAGAAAAGTTAAAATATGTCCTAAAATTTTAATATTCAACTCACCTTTTGTATGATAAATAGCAATTAGATCAGCTAATGATTATTTACATATAACACAAAATTGCCCCTGTAGAACTTATTTTCCTGTATAACACAGTAGCAGTGAAAAAAAGTACATTACTGGAAAGGAGGGGGTGAGGGAGGGGGGGGGTACGATGGCTAATAATAAGAACTCAAGAGTGAAAGTAAGGAGAAAGTACTAATATATCAATCAAACTATACTTGCTATATCTAGTTCCAACGAGGCCTTTCGCCCAACATCATAAAACAGACATAATAGTAATAGAAAGCATATCTATATCTTTAGTTGCTTGAACCATAACTGATATATATATATCATTAGTTACTGGAACTACAACTGTTCGGTGTGAACTAGATGACAACATAACTGAAGTGTAAAAAGTTCGTATTGCATCATGTCTAATTTATAGCAAGCCTAATTTACATATATTGTCTCAAAATATTTTTATTTGCTGTGTTACACAATTTTTATTTTAAGTGTCTTCACACCCCCATGTTAAAAGTTCGCGTTTTCTTATTCACTTTGTATTACCTTTGTCATGACGGATTGTTCTTCATAGAAAATGAAAAGTAGGTGAAATAGGCAGATGGTTGATAGTTATCCAAAACATTTACGACCTCTTAAATTGCATATCCTTTACGTATGGAATCTAAATGTAGCGTGTTTAGTCAAAAGTACCTTTGATTGTTTTAATTGTTTGAAACTGGAACAAACAGTAAAACGATTGATAAAGGATGAACATAATATCTTACGTACATTTAGATGTGTTAAACTGTAATAAAGGATACGATTTTGTTCATAATCGTTCAAACTTATGCTATATTCTACCAATACACGTTACAACCGTCTTACTCAATATTACCGATTGTGAAACACACGAACTATTATTTCAGTAGTAGTTATATTTCTCAAACAATATAAGATGAATGAACCTTGAATTGGTAAGTGTAGGGAAATATTTTTTCTTTATATTGGTAGCTGATAGTCCAATGGCAGTAATTTTTGTATTTCTATAATATTCATAACCGTATTTGTTATGCCTTACACTATTATTAATATATATTTTATTTCTATACACAGGTTTACCCAGTGAGAGAATATAGGAGGTATACTCCAGTTTAAAACACTTGAAGATATTTATTGAATTCTCTTGTGTTTGAGGAAATCTTCTCTTATAAATGCTGACACCAAAACTTAAATCAACTTACAGTGATGACCATTGCTCAGATGATCTTCCTATTATCTCTTGTCAGGTCAACATAATGTGTAACACTGTTTAGGTAATATCGGCGTAAAGAAAAATTCGAGAATATCAATGTGCAGAAGCGATGATATTATCTTACTGTGGATCAAGGCTTCCAATATATTACTGTAACGTATGATTAAAGCCATAGTAATGTGAAGAGTGTTCATGTCATCTTACTGTGGGTCAAGGTTCCAGTCACCTTATTGTAGTCTATGGCTAAAGCCATAGTAATGAGAAGAGTGTTCATGTCATCTTACTGTGGATCAAGGCTCCCATTATATTATTGTAGCGTATGGTTAAAGCCATATTAATGTGAAGGAGTGTTCATGTCATCTTACTGTCGATCAAGCTTCCAATCACCCTTACTGTAGTGAATGATTAAAGTCTTATTAATATGAAGAGTGTTCATATAATCTTTCCGTGGATAAAGTCTCTCATTACTTTACTGTAGCGTATGGTTAAAGTCTTATTAATGTGAAGAGTGTTCATCTCATCTTACTGTGGATCGAACCTCCTGTCAAGAAACTGCAGAAGGTAGTTAAAATCATATTACTGTGGAGGAATATTCAAGTCTTTTGTCGTTATCCCTCCTAACATAAGTCACTTTACTGTAAAACAGGTCATGTTATTATGGAGAAGGACTCTGGCCTCTCGTTATGAATCCTAACAAAAGTCATCATACGATTGTGGAAAAGCTCACACCTCTTTGTGTAAGTTCTGCCTTACGTTCGTCTAATATAGAACATAGAAGAAAGCCATGTGGTTGTGGAAAAGCTCGGATCTTTTGTTGCGGGTTCTGGCTTAAGCTGCTTTAACGTAAAACATGGATGAAGCCATATGGTTGGGAAAAGCTTAGATCTATTATTGTTGGTCCTGGTTTAATTTGCCCTAATGTAGAACATGGATGAAGCCATATGGTTGTGGAAAAGCTCGGATCTTTTAATGTGGGTTCTGGCTTAAGCTGCTTTAACGTAAAACATGGATAAAGCCATATGGTTAGGAAAAGCTTAGATCTCTTATTGTTGGTCCTGGTTTAATTTGCCCTTATGTAGAACATGGAAGAAGTCATATGGTTGTGGAATAGCTGAGATCTTTTGTTGCGGGTTCTAACTGAAGTCACTTTACTCTAGAACGAGACTCCTCTTAGAAAACTGCAAAGAAAAGCTGAGATCATTTTACTTTATGTGTCAAGTTTAGGTCATTTTACTGTGGTAAAACATAGAACGTCCTTCCTGTGGAGTAGTGCTCATATGATTGAACTGTGTGAACAATATTATCTCAGTGTGGTTTTCAGGGATTCACACTACGAACGCGGGTCAGGATATTTTATTTTAGCGTTTGTTCTCATCTTTTAAAATGTAAGTATTGAAAACGTACTGGCTAACCCGAAGTGAGTTTTGTAGAGACGTTTTATAAGATTAACCGACTTTTTCAGTATTTTTGTATGTTTCGTAATAATGCCTCAGTGTACACAATCACTAATCACGAATCAGGACTTATAAATTATACTTTTTGCACGTGCCTTTTCAAGATAATTCTTGAATACAAAAATCTTGGACGATTTTTTAATATCCACGAGAAATTAGACTAAATAAAGCACTTGTTGTATGATATTTTAAGTGTAACAATAGTTACAAGGTTGGTTGTTTTCCTTTCATTTAAAATTTATTCAAGTATCATAGCTGACGATCATTGGAGATATTTTGTGGGCTATTATGGTCGTAACGGTTTAAATGGGGGAAATATTAGCTAGAGAAAAATCTGAAATGTGTACCTTAATATTTATAGGTAAAGCTTTCCAGCACTTGTTTAACACAACTCCAGATATCTCCCAAATATTTATGAAATCACCTTTTTCGTGTAGATTTCTATATAGAACTAATAAAGAATTCTAACAACAAAATCAGCTAGGCTTATTGAAATACCACACAATTCTTACTGAGTTCTAGGGTTAGTCACGTGTTTGTCATTTGGAATTCTTTCTGTGACTGTTACGCCCACCTTCTAAGAAGCTCAAATATAGGTGTTAGCTAAACAGTATACATTATGTGTATTTGTCCTTAGAATAATAAATAAACTTCTTAATCAATTATTAATTTACCCTAAAAATATCAGTTTGTCGTAACTGATATCGTTTGTTATAACATTTATATGTGATCTTGGCTACTACGGTTTCACAGAAGAAAAAAAATGAAGAAGCTGCATGGGGAAACTACAGAATCGTTCTAAACTGTTATAACAGCTGAAAGTGATTATTTAGATAAATTGCAGTTAAATTCTATCTCTCCTCCTTTTCTACTTGACATGTTGACTTCTTCTAAAAGTGAAAGAGTTTCGTATTCGTCTTTTAAAATTGGAATTATTCAATGCTTTTTTTCTTATTTTTTGTTTAAGTTAGAATTAGTGATGGATAATTACGCTGCCTTTGGTGTTTCGATTGAAAAACTCGATTGTACACGTTACAAGTAATAATTTATGTATAACTTAAGTATTTCTCTGTTGTGGACATTATACCAGTGATGGATAAATGAAGAACAAGGTAGAAATATGTCTACGTTTTAAGTAGATGACATCTTAAAACAATGTTAGTCTGAAAGCTAAACTACAATTCTAGAGCAAGGTTCTAAATATCATAAGCAACTAGAATTAAGGCATAAAAATGTACTCCTTTTTTTAAGTCAAGATTTCCGTATTTCGTCCAGCATTGTAATTTCCAACACTATCTTTTATTTAAATCAAAGACTTAAATTAAGATACAAGTTTAAGAATGAATTTTGTAGGGACACAGTGGAGCTCTGCAACAACGTTTAGATTGTGAAACTGTCATCTTAGGTTATTATTTATCCTGCTGTCATTTATTTAGTAGAGTTTATAGCTTTATAAATGGTATTACAGTTCGCTAAAATAGTTAATACTTAGATGTTATTTTGGTTTTAATGAATAATATGCATTATGATTAATTAGAAACTGTAAATATTTTGGCGGATTTTCACAACTAATCTCTTTACCATTAAACAAAATGATACTCGAACCATTCACAGATGTCGGTAACGTTTTGAGAAAACAAAACATGCCGTTCTTGCGATACAACAGGGGAAAGTATTTCAACGTGGTAATACGGGAATTAAAATTAAAATTTCCTTTTGTTTAATAAATACCAAGCTAGTCGTTTTCCTTTTTACAACTTAAGAAATAATTACTTTGTTCGTTCTTTATATTTCCATTAACTACCTATTTTTCAACCAGAGTAAAATGTATGTAACTTCAAATTGAAGATTAAAATAGATCCATAGCACGTGACTACTATTGTCATCCAATTCCTTGAAGATATTACCAGAACGTATACTTTAGAAAATGTTTCAGAAGTAGAAGAGATGCATGCGTTTCTTATACATTAAAATAATCGAATATTAAACAGATAAAGCGTCCTATAGCGTAGTCATAAAATCAATGATTTTTTATCTCCATAGTGTAATTCAGACTGTGTTGAACATAACACACGTACCTACCTAATCCTTTGACAGTAATTGTTCAAGTGTAATAATGACACTTCTTTATATCATCGGTTGAACATAACACACATACCTACCTAATCCTTTGACAGTAATTGTTCAAGTATAATAATGACACTTCTTTTTATCATCGGTTAAACATAACACACATACCTACCTAATCCTTTGACAGTAATTGTTCAAGTGTAATAACGACACTTCTTTATATCATCGGTTGAACATAACACACATACCTACCTAATCCTTTGACAGTAATTGTTCAAGTGTAATAATGACACTTCTTTATATCATCAGTTGAACATAACACACATACCTACCTAATTCTTTGACAGTAATTGTTCAAGTATAATAATGACACTTCTTTATATCATCGGTTGAACATAACACACATACCTACCTAATCCTATGACAGTAATTGTTCAAGTGTAATAATGACACTTCTTTATATCATCGGTTGAACATAACACATATACCTACCTAATCCTTTGAGTGTAACTGTTCAAGTGTAATAATAACACTTCTTTATATCATTGTTGATTGTGAGTTTTAGTTAATTTGTCGTGAAATGCGAAAACATCACAATTATTGCTGAGTGTTGCTACCTTATTAAACCTAGCCAGCCATAACCACAAAACTTTAAGTTAATTATTCGTTGAACAACGTGTTTCACGGGGTGTTGACTTTAAAAGCTACAGTGAGAATTTTCTTGTTAATACGGCAAGCGGAGTTTGAAGTACACTCATGGAACAAGAGCGCCTCCTATATCCATGGATAATTTAACCCGAGAGAGTTCGTTTAATCTCGTACTGCATACTTCAATAAGCTTTAAAAGGAAACAGTGTAGTTAATATTTGCTAAACGGAGCTCAGTGCAGTATAGATGTTCATAAATGACTGGTTATCATATAACTCACCTGATTTTGGTGATTGGTTTCTATTATATTCTAGGCTATCTTAGAAGGAATTATTTTGTTATAAAATTGTCATTTAATTTTTTTTTGAAACTAGCATGCTAATACTGTATATAATTGGTGTATTTGCAAGTTACTAATGATGTAATTATGCTAAGGAAAACTAAAACTCTGATGCAAAATATGCAAGTAAAGCCATTTTACTCCACTACAACTGTGTGTAGCCAACAATATTTCTGACAGAAATCTCAAAACGAAAAGTACAACAATTTTGTAATATATATATATATATATATTGGATGAGTATCGTTTAGATGTAAGCACTAAATGATTGAATTAGATAACTGAAAAATTAATTATTTTAATGATTCTCAAAAAACAAGAAATCGAATATTTGAATAATATAAAAAATGCCCAAAGCATAGTTTAAGTTTTGAAACTGGTTTTTCAGAAATAATACTGCTTATGTGTTCTTAAGCCTTTTGGCTTCGATATATTTTTCATGACTTATCGATAAAAAGTTGTAGATGGCTGTAGGAAACGCAGAGTGGGCAACGAATTAGTCAAAATTCAATAGAATGCTAACAGGTTTACAGGATTTTACAGCATAATAGTTAAACATCGTTGTTTGTTGCATGTTCAAAGAATCACATTAGATTTAAGAGTTTATTATACCTTCATTTCTAGTTTAATATAAAACACCGCCATACTTTCATCAGAAGTGTTTACAGGAAATTACAGTAAAAAAAACCGAAATAATTAAGTCCAAATAAATGATAATTTTTTTTTCATGCTAATAATTTATTACAGATCTCTTGGAATTGTTTTAGATGTACACTCGTTGCTTCCGCGACATATTTGTTCACCTGTCATATACGTCAAGCAGCTGGAGAATGAAGCGGGTATTTATGCTATTGTATACAAATATAATTTGTTTG